TTACAAAATTTCGTGGTCAAAATCTTTGAAATTTCTTGCACCGCATTTTTGCCCCTTTGTATTTAATTTTCAAAGAACTTGTTATCAATAACTCATAATTTACTTTATCTTTTCATGTGAGGGAAATTCGAAATTTCTTCTAGCTAAGCGGATTTTGTGTCTCTTTGTGAGTAAATTGAGCTGCAATTTCTGATTATAACTTTAATCTGCTGTGATGTTTACTAGCAAATGGTGATTGAAAAACTGTTTGATTTCGGTATCCTATGCCACGCCTCCTCCGAACGGATTATTTTTAACCATCTATACCTCATGACCTAGCCAGCGTAACCGCTGTTTCTTGATTCACTGAACTAAGCCAATGTCTCCGTATATCTCGTAGAGCTCATCGTTCCATCGGCTGCGGTATTCGCCATTGCCTATGCGATTTACAAAAACTTTTTTTAAAACTATTAAGCCTCACCCATCAGATGTTGTCATCGCCCATGCCACCGCATTTTGTAGCAGGATGGGAATTGTAAGCTACTGATGGAGATTATTCTTTTTTGTCGGGAGAGGACTTAACATTTCAATTGCGTACTTAGTTCAAAGCAGCTCCTGTTGGCAATAGTAATTCTTCTCTGGATTTCCAAGTTCGCTGACGGAGAGCTTTATTCTTTCACAAATATACTCGAAAGGACCTCATATGCGATATTAAGAAGGATTATCCAACGTGAATTGAAACTGTGGCCATACTCTCATCCAATTATATTTTGAAAAGAAGCTGATGCATGCAGGCATGCAACCTATCAATTCTTCACCGTATTTGAATAGTTCGGCCGGTAATCCATCGGCCCCACCGCTTTGTTGTTTTTCCGGCGGGCGATTGCCATTCAAATTTTTCAAAACCGTCCGATAAAACATCTGTTCCATCTTCATTATTTGGGCAATAAGGAACTCCGTCTCCTAAAGTTATACTTTCCCACCCATTTAGCAGACTGGAGAGTTGTTCCCTCTACAAATTCAGTATTCTCAGCGCAGCAGACACTAGATCACCTGGTCTTGACGCCTTTTGCAAACACCGTATTCTTTCGTAGAGTATTCGAGCATTAACCTCTTCCTATTGCTTTGTGTCTGCAAATGTGTTTTGCCTTTCTCCTCGGCTCTCGTTATCTATCCTAACCCGCACGAGTTGTGGTCGATAGCAAGTTTGCGAGGCAGGCCTGTTTTCTCTCCACTGCGACACGGCAGTCCTCATCGTTCCAGCTGTTCTTCGGACCTTTTCGTAAAGCAATAGTTTTGTTTGCAGCAGTACGCAGGGAACTTGAAATTCCTTTCCTTTATACCGAGTTGTTTATCACTTTCCCAATTAAGGTACTGGCCATTCCAGGTTCAAAAGTAGTCATCTTTAATTCAACTGTAGTGGTCGCCATTAATAGAGGGTATCTCGTTCGAGGTGTTGTTCAACTTTTCATTGGAACTGATTACTACGTGGCGGGTCTCAAACCCAGCGCATAATATCGCTTGGCGAGTAAGTTTAAAGTTTGTACACTGCAGCTCTCCCCTAGCTGCACCTCTGATGGGCAAACACTGTAATTGGATTTCAGCAAACCGGTAAACCGAATCTTTCGGAGTGACTACACTGAAGCTTCTTCTCTTTTAACCGTGAAATTAGCTGTTAACCGCATCTTGCACAAGAGATGCTCACGTTTCCAGGGTGAGCGACGTGAATGCAAGATCAGGAATGGTGCATTGCCCCGTGACTGTAACTGCATACCCAGAATACCCATTACACCCCAAATGATTCAAAATTACTTCTCTTGTTTCTTGCAGCCTCAGACTTTTACCTAATTAACTTTAACGATGTGCGACTTCGAAAAATGGAGAGATTTCCATAGCAATATATTTGCTTGCCTCATAATTTGAGTAGATTTTAATTATACGTAGGCGGCCGCAATAGCCCAGTGGATAGCGTTGCATACTGCCATTCGGAAGGCCTGGATTCATACCCCGGTGTGACCAACATCCAAATGTGGTAGAAAATTAATTAAAAAAAAATAAGTTAAATTTTCTAATTGCGGTCGCCACTTGACAGGGAATGTCAACCCCTTCTTGTGTATTTCTGACATGAAATAAAGGCTTCTTGTAAAAAAAAAACGTCAGCCATTCGGAGGCGGCTAAGCATAAACTGTAGGTCTCTCTATTTGGTGGAAACACATCAAGACGCAAAGCTCCAAATTAGAGGAGGAGCTCGGCGGAAAATCGTTAAAGAGGTTACCAAGCGCTAATTATATGTATATATATTTTTCTTTTAAAACATTGGAAGGAGTCGCACGTAATCTTTTCGCTTATATGTATATATATGCATAAGTAGTTCCTTCAGCGCTTTTGAACCCCCCTAATGCAAGTCTCGTACATTAAAATTTTACCGCCTTCCTGTGTGAGCATTCAAGTTTGGTTTTGATGTCAATTGATTATTTCAACCACTTAAACTTGAACTTGACAACCAGTTTGCCATGAAGTTGCAACAAGTTTCGTAATGCCGCAAGCAACTTGTCTTGAGATAACCGATAACGAGCCGGCGCATTGTTGACCACTGCGGCAAAAGGAAGGAAAGCGTTGTAAAGTTTAACAGTGACTTCATCAAACTCTCTTGCATGTAAGAAAGAGTGGAGAAAGAAAAAAGAAAGGTTTAAAGTGGTCAATATTAAAACAGGTTTGAATACCAAACGCATTTCACAACAAATAAAATTTCATTTGCATATCTTTTTATGAAAGAACTTGTATTAGAAGAAGAAAGCTAATGAAGAATTGTACACCTAAAAGAGACGGAAGAAGTACTCGTATAATAAAATCAGCGCTGACAATCACGTACTCATGCAAAGAAAGTTTACTCGCTTAAGAACCAATATGCATATGTATATGTACCTACTTAAGAATTGTATTATGTATATATGTATAATATCAGTGTGTAAAACATACCCGGTAGAAAAGTTTTAAATTTTATTATAATTGTTTAAGTCAAGTCACAAACCATTTTTATCTGTACAATAAAATTGAAATGAAAATCATTTACAGATTATGATTATTTACTCTTTTCACATTTAATATCATAATTCAATTGCTGTGGGCAATACTTCAGTGATAAGTTTAAGCGACATAGGCCGAGTGGCAACCGGAGCTAAGTAATATGCGGAGGATCATAGGTTTGTATCTTAGCTAGAACAAGATTATAGAAACCAAATTTTTCACAGTACGCTCGTCCCTCGGTCAGCCATTCGAAAGTGGCTAAGAGCTTATTTCTGACGTGAAATCAAGGCACCTCTTGAAAAACCATCAACCGCTCGGAGATCGTTAAGGAAAAACTGTAGGACCCGCCACTTGCTGTGAAGATTATGATCAGAATGATGACCTGAGTTGATCTAGCTACATGGGTCTGTCAAATTTCAAGGAAATTGAATTGTTGAAATATTTCAGAAAAATGTGTGGTATTTATGTCGCATTGCATTTAAGCTGACAAAGGTCGCTAGATCGTAGGACTATATCATATAATCTGATTTTCAGAAATATGATTTCGCAACATATCAACCACATCTACTCCGCTTTGTCTGAAGCTTAAATTGATTGTGAAAACTAGCGATAAGAATAGCCTAAATCTGCGTCAGAATAGAATATCTTTAAGTCATTCTATATTAAAGGAGGTTTCAGTCAATTAATGTAATGCTAAAGAAAATAATAGGAGCCACAAGAGGGAAGATGTAATTTTCTACAAGCTGTGTAACGTGAGTTTTGCTCGAAAGCTGAGCCATCTCAGCGGTTCCAGAATCTACCAAAATAACCCTAAACCTTGATTAAGAAAATTACAAAAATTAGTTTCACACTTTCCGTAGAAGTTTCTTGTCGAAGCGAGTTGAAAGGCAACGTTCTAGCGGGAAATAATTTTAATAAGTTGCATAAGAAAAACCACTTGTGCTATCGTCCCTCATTGGAGAACTTTTATTACAAAAACTTGAGTGCGCTTTATTCGGCGGTCACAAGATAACTTAATCACCTTTATTTTGGGTCTCAAATAATCGAGACTCTACTGTAGAGTCTGTGTTAACATAGAAACTTTATAGAAAATTAAACTCGGGAATAATAAAACTACGCTATAAAGCGGTGGAAAACCCAAGAAAATATTCTAAACGGATAAATCTAAAACGCTAGAAATTCGACTGCTGGAGAATGTCGACTCTGACTGTAAGTTGTTAGCCTAATAGAGAACAGAGAAGGTATTAGAAATTGGAAAGTAAGGGAATAGCAAATTGTGGTATTATTTACCAATAGAGCAGGAAATATGAAGTGTAGAATCTCATGGTTTTTGCTGGTAGGATTATACCAAGTGTATGTAAGTGCGGCCGTCTGTTGTCAAAAAAAGAATGTGGAAAATATTATAACGTACTAAATACAATGTTTCATCTACCGACACCGTGGTTTACGATCTGTTTATGATATTGATATCAGGGACTTCTACGATGCTTTTAGTTCAGAGAAGGAATCAAGGGTCCACGTCACTGTTTACAGTCATAAAAAAACTCTTCTGCCTTGAAATCTGTATCAACACTGGAAAAGTCTTCTATCGGCGAATAAGTCACAAACTCTCAAAGTCGCGCATCATTCCCATCTATTGAGTCAGCATTAGGAGTTATTTAGAGAAAGATCTTTCGGACGCCCATGCTATACGAAGCAATAAAAGCACTCAAGCTTTAGAAGTATTACTATTTTGCAAGTTGGTGAAAGCAGATTAAGAGGAATGAATATCTCGATTCTGTGATAAATATTAGAAAGAGTACGACCAGATATCTTCAAGTTTGTTCTTCTAATTAAAAAGAAAGAGTGTAAAGATTTTCCTGCAGGGTAGGTATGGATGTGGCACCCAGAATGTAGCATAAAGAGGAATGTCCATTTGTCCATTTGTGGTAACAAATAGAAGTTTATAAAATGCTACGACCATGAAAGAACACCAGGTAGTTTGATTGTAGAAGCCAAGGTCTAAGGAAAGACGGAATATTTGCGATCAACGTCAGTGTTGTGTAAATTACGAAGAGGAACAAAAGCTTTAAATAAGCACAACAATAATAAATATAATATTAATAAAATGGCGCTGTTTAACATCGAAGTGAGTGAACAAATTTTTCGAAATGCCTCAAAGTGAGCAAGTTACAACCACATATACATTTAGAGTTATTCAATTTTATTCATTTTTATATTTTGTATCAATTTAATTACATAGAGTTTAGCTTATGTTTAATATAAAAAGCGTGAATGGCAACCTTGAGTCCAACAACCTTTTTTTCTACATCTTTCCTAGATGCGGTTATTGAACTTAATTCTTGTATGGCTTGTGTGTACCAGCCAAGCGGCGCCTATAGCGGAAGAGAATGCCATAAATGCAGCAGATTCAGTATCAACTTGGAGTCCAATAATGCAAGTTTCCCTCCCCAATACAGATACCAACACTGAGACGTACTCAAATCTACAAACTGCTGACAAACCAGATGCAATTTTCGCCGAGGCAGGTAATAAAGTTGATGAGGAATCTGTTGAGAGTGCCGCGACTGCAGCTGAGCATATGGCCACCGCTATTGTGGCACCACTAACACATATCGCACATATCACATACGATTCTGTGCCGGTGACGCACAAACCCAACGATCGTAAGCCACTCTTCCACCGCGAATCTCATGATGAGTTGATCAAGTTGTAGAATGTGGCAAATACATTGAATACAACTTAACTACGGGACGGGTGGCAGTGCAGAAAGTGAAATGTTTACATAAAAATTATACATATTTGTTGTCTTTAATAGCCTATAAAATTGGAAAATTAAATTTCAATTGAGTTACAAATTTGATGGACTTTTATCTACATTATTGTTGCTATAAATATTGCTGGTGTCAATTGTGTTGTGATTGTTTTGTACGTAAGGAGTTCGTTAATGAGATTTAATTTTGGAGAGTTCATCAGTTGCTGAAATATATATTTTCACAAAGAGTGTTTGATAAACTGCCGATACCCAAAATCTCAAAATAAAAAACGCGAAAGACAAAACTGAAAAATGAAAAAATTAATAAATACTGATTGACCTCAGCTGTAGTGTAAATTGGTTAATAGTTTATCTAAGCATGGATTGTCTTATACTCGTCTGCCGTTTTTTTTTTCAGTTGAAAAGGGAAGGCTGAACGCGAAAGGACAACTAAGCCTTTGCGAAAATTTCGTCCGATTTCATAAAGACTTTAAGTCTCTTCTTACCATGGAAGATGTGATTTCTCAATTGGCTGAAGGTCGGACTCTCGTTCGGCATTCTCTCTGTATATTCTGCACATAGCCGTGCCCACTTTCTTTAGCTTATGGAGATCAGATCTCATTAGTCAGAGGAGAGTTTTTACTCCGTCAGAACAGGCTTTCTGTAAGCATAACACCTGGCGTGATGCCCAAAATATTATATTTTGTTGAGGTCTTAGCAAACCGCAATTGAATCTTTCGCAGCTTCATGGAAGTCGGGAGGGAAATAGTAGACTCTTAAATAACTCTGCCCTCACAGCGGCTCGGCAGTAATTTGTGTTTCAACTGAGTAGTAAAATTTCCTCTGGTAATCATTTATTTTATGGAAAAATAAAGGATTTATTTTTACTACACCTTAACTATACATATATGTATCTAGAGTGTTTTGCTTATTTTTTGCCCGCAGGTGTACTTATTTATCGATTTTTTTTTTACTATTTCATTTCTCTCTAATTCTACAAAGATTAGTTAACATTGAACTAAGAGGAATCAGTTTTTATTCATAATTTAACTATAAACAAGGCACTTCAGTATTTACAAACGATTATAGTTCAGGTACTTTTATTGGATTAACCGAAAAATGGAGCTGGTGCAGCGTATCGTAAAGGTGCCGGAGCGTAATGAAGAGGTGCTGGGGCAAATGGCAGAGGAGCTGCCACTGGCGCGGCCAAAGGAGCAGCTAGAGGTGCTGCAATTCTAGCGGGTGCAGCAAAGGCCACTGGAGCTGGAGCAGCAAAGGCCAGTTTAGGCGCAAGCGCTAATGGCGCAGCAAAAGGTGCCGGTGCGGCGAATGAAACTCTTGGTGGGGCGGCAACTGCTAAGGGTGCGGGTGCAGCAACTGGCACTGCGGGTGGGGCGACTGGCAAAGCAACAGCATGATTGATGTGATGAGCATTAAACGAGGATGCATAAGGCGCGACAACAGCAGGTCCAATGGCAGCAGCAGGCAGTAGACCAGCATTCGCTACAGCGACACAGGCGAACAAAGCGATGAGCTGTAGGTGAAATATAAGGATTATTCTAAATATTAAAAAAAAATAAAGGAAAAGAGGAAACTTAAAAAGCTTCGGTAACTCACTACAAATTTATTGGCCATATTTATGAAGAATTTTGATTTTTGTTATGAGATAAAATAAATTTTGCTTGTGAGCTGATGTTAATTGCTCGACGATATGAAAGAATTTGTTATCTATCGCCAACATTGGTGGATCTTTTATAATAAATTTCATTTGTTAGCAGTTTACTGAATAATAACAACAAAAAGCTCTAAAAGTAGGTATTTCGCTTATTCCAAAAGGAATGCTTGACAGTATTTCTGACAATGTATAGCACGCGCCAATATACCAAACTTTGTTCATACATATATATTTACGAATATGTTTGTATTTTCCTTTGCCCTTTATTACGGTATTACCCATGTTTTATATTAAATTAAAACAATTTGCTCAACGGATTATTTAATACTCCCAAAAATAGTTTCTTTATTTACATATCTACATATATATATACGAGTATGTAGACAGGCGTAATATTGCAACAAATTATCAGGCCATTGTCACACTTTCGTACTCTATGTGTATTCCAGTTCACTCTAGTAGTTGCAAACCCCATAGACTGTTGTAAGCGATTCAGTGAAAAGCGGAGTTACTGGTGTAGAAATGTACTAGTTACGAACTAGTATTAAAAAGTTAAAATTTCTACTAACTTCATAGGCAAATTCTTAGCAGCTGGCCCTTCATTTATAAAAGAACTAGGAAGTAAGAATAAGTACGGGAGGAACCGAATAGTATATACTCGACTGACCTTTGCATTCGGTATAAACTAAAATGTCAACTATATGGGAAGCATGCCAATTTCTGGATCTAGGAAAGACCACGGTTTGTTGTATATAATTAATTTAGACTTCCCTTACGTGGTATTATTACATTGCAGAGATCTGATCGCAGCTTTATTGCCTTAAAAAATATTTTAACTATTTATCCTGCTGCCGTAGATTTGAACAGCCACTCATGACTGCAAAAAGTTCTGCTTGGAAAGCAGTCTCGTAGTTGTATGCTCACATTTATATAGAGCATCCGAGAGGGTATTTCACAGCCCACTTTTCATCCAATTTTGAGATGTCTTTCAAATGACTATAGCTCCCCCGCCGAGTTGTTGGGGTTTTTCCATTCATTCCATTTGGAAATTTTGTGGAAAAGACGTTTTCGAAATGCATACTTTAGGTAGTGGAATCCTGCTCCAGCACGCTTGCAATTTCCCGTACTCAATAGCAGTGTTCCTATTACAAGGATAGCTGTCGACCATGACATCTGGCCTTGTTGTGCTTGATATCTAAGATTAATTCGAGGCATTTCTCTTTGATCGATAGGGTGATCTCCACGCCCTTTATTAGAGATGGTTAGTTTCTTTAGATAAACACGAATATTTGCTGTGTTGGTGTAGTTCCTGAGATATACCTTTTGAACCGATAAAATTACCGTTATATGGTGCGTTAATTTGGTCCGATCTCTCCCATATGCTATAGCATCCATAATTGTGAGCCATGTATTGTCTGACCCAGTCTCATCAAAATTTGGTCAATCCTTACTAGAGTTGTAGTGTACGCAGATGAACTGACGGATGGACGGTTTTTCTCGTCATTCCATAAAGTTTGATATGCATTTGTTTTGACGTTCCCAACCGAATTAGTTGCATAGTATCAAAATAATAACATAGTGTAATTATAGTTCGGACCAGTAGATTTTACTGCAGGGTAAGTACACTCAGATATGTTTATACTGACAAATGTATGTATTTCTGTATTTACATGCATACATACATATATGCGTTAACCTGTGAGTGCTATAAGCTGCCACCCGCAATCAGCGCCTGCGTAATCAGTTGAAGTAATGAAGTAATGCGTATAAAACTTAATTTCCATTAACACATACATACAATGTTGCGGGTAAATTGTTATTTATGGGCTCTGCGATTCGATAGGTAGACAACAAATTACGATTAGTAGTCGGTAAGTGATACCAACTATGCCAAAATTATTTTATGACTGCCGATCGTAATTTATTACCAACGTACAGTGGGATATTAAAATTATAATTATAATTATAATTATAATTATAATTATAATTAATTATAATTATAATTATAATTATAATTATAATTATAATTATAATTTTAATTTTAATTTTAATTTTAATTTTAATTATAATTATAATTATAATTATAATTATAATTTTAATTTTAATTTTAATTTTAATTTTAATTTTAATTTTAATTTTAATTTTAATTTTAATTTTAATTTTAATTTTAATTTTAATTTTAATTTTAATAAAGTTTTAACCAGAACACATATAACTCTAACACACCATGCTGCCACAGAGTCAGCTGTTTGTATGGCACCTTTGCCGTGTGCTGCTGTCTTACGCTAAGTCTTGTCTACGAAAGCAGTTATCGTCTTGTAGCTTTAATCGTGCGTACGTAGGTACGCTTGTCATCAACTGTTGCATCAATTCGCTGACCAACAACGCACGGCACTGCCAGACAGACGGTAGTTATCTACGTGACGTGCAAGCCAAATTTGTTTCCCAATTTCGCGTGCAGTAAATGAGTGAAAATATTTTTTTCGATCATCAATATGTAAAACTGTAATTGTGTATATCGCATTTAATTACATATGTACCCACATTTCACATATACATGCGTATATAAAGCATTTTGTACTGCATAAATTTGTAAAAAAAATGTCTAGCAATATATAAATAAAAAATAATCAGCAGACAAATTAAAAACAAAAAAGGGTCTTACAAGATTCTTATTTGTGTTTTTTGTATTGATTTAATTTTAATTTAAAAATATATCATTAAAATTAACGAATATTTATAACTAAAAAAATTTAATCATCAGCAAATTGAAGCCTAAAAATAATTTTTTTCTAGTAGACCTGTCCCTGACCCACTTCCTCTAATGAAAAGTCTACCGCAAATTAACATAAGCAAAAAATATACTATAGATATTCGATATATCAAGCAACTCGAACAATAAATAGGATGTTTTGGAGAAAAACGGTCTTAGGTCCATTTCCAGGAAAATCCCTTCTTTGTCGGATGCCTGCATTATACACCGTACCCACTCTCCAAGCTCAGGTCTCTTCGATTTGTGGGTTAGGCTGTTGGTTGACTCGTCAGTCATTTAGGACAAACTCTTTTATAAAGACACTTAAGTAAATTTTGAAAAGTGCAAGAATTCCCCCGAATAATATTCGTAGAAAAAAAATCTATTATATTTAGGCTTTAATTTGTGTTTTGTACTAGCTTGATATTTATAAATTATGTGATATTTTAAAGTTTCTTCTAAATAAAGTTGGGAGCAGGAATATAACGGTCTTACGGTGCATCAAAATGGTACATTTGTTGCTAATTGGAATCGCAGTTGTTTTACCTGCCTATCTAATACATTTTATATAATTGGCGCTTTGTAACCGCTGAAGCGATTTTTCGACCAAGCTCCTCCTCCTCCTTATGGTTTTGCGTCTTGATGTCTTTCCAACAAATAGAGGAATCTCCAGTTTATACTCATGGTTTTTTACGATTATTTATTTCATATCATAATTACACTCGGAGAGGTTGGCATTCCCAGGCGAGGCGCGACCGCATTTAGAAAATTTGTCTTAATTTTTTATTTAAATAAATTTTTCATAAGTTTTGGATGTCGGTAGCACCGGGATATGAACCCGAGCCTTCCGAATATCAGTACGCAATGCTAACCACCCGGCTACCGTGGCCGCCGTTGTAATTATGAAATTTATTGGGGTTCGTAGCTCTACAAAAACATTTCAGCATGCGATTCAGCAAGTTTTCGAACATGTACCAAGCACCAGTTGCTTCGCAGGGTGGTAGTTTCCAAAGCCAGATCTATTTTGACTGAAGCTCATGCTGCGGGAGTAAAGTCTGCAATAATTTTCAGTTAATAAGTTCAATGTAATAATGTTTTTAGTTCTTTAATATCGATAAATCCCGTCCAGGTTGAAAAAGCTAGAAATAAGAGTGTAAATGGCATGCGATTTTTCGGCAAACTACCCTTTCTAGGCGCAGATTTGCACAGTAAAACGATGAAGTGACGAGCGAGAATATAATTAAGAGGAAGAAGTGGACTTAGTGGAGTATAGTAATTCCCATACAACACTGTACCTCGATAACTTTTTCAAATCACTTGATATATTCAAAAGAACAACCCGAAATTTTCAGTAACGGAATACATATGCTTAAGTCCCCGTGAAAAACACCAAAACCTATATCTGTTTTATGTTTTTTTAAGTTAGTAAAAGAAATACAAGAAATAGTTGTTGTCTTTGGCCATGCTGGTCGTATGTAGACTAAATCAACTCAGTTCGTCGTTCTGATCCGATCGGTATAAAATTTGACTGAGAAATAACCAACACAAGAACTAAAGCAGAGATTGGGCGACTTCACGTAAAATGCCATAGAATGAAGGAGGTTTGAAAGGTTCCCACTACCGAAATAATTTTATAATATTTCGAGCCAACACAATATAGCTAAGCTTGGTTCATTTAGTCATCTTGTCCGCCTAATTATCCTTATTTGAAGACTGAACTTATTTCAAAGAACATGGACTATTAATGGGATCTTTTTTCTAGTCATTCCTGAAATCCTCGAAAAAGAGGAAGCTGATTCGACCTACTTACCAGTGATTGTGGAGACGAGCTAAGAGTCATCTGGAATCGTTTCCTCAGACCAGCAAAAATATAACCTCACTTGAAAATCGAGCAACGACTTAAAGAAGCGAGACGCTGTGGCTCTAGTTAGAATTTGACTCGCAGAGCCTTATGCTAGAGATTTGTCTTCGGAGGCATAATTTCTTAGTTTTGTTTTAAATTAAATATTCGTGTATTTACGCTGCAATAAAGTCTTTAAAAAACTATAAATATAAAAATAAAATATTTTAACTTAACAACAGTTAAATAAATTAACGATCGAGCTAAAGTAAAACTTGAACTCTTTGATGCACATACTCGTGTATGCGAGTACGTATGCCAGGTACACAAATGACTTTGGTATTCTTCACATTTAATCTATCCTTTGCCTCTAATTGATCACTTTTTCTTTGTATCGAAGGAAATTAGAAAAGCGAGTGGTGGTGGTGGTGATGAGATAACAGTTTCGCTGAATGTACCGGTAGGGCATGCAAATGCGCATGAGGTGCTACGATTTTGGCCACGTGAGCTGTGGGGAAAGCGTAGCCAACTGAGACATGATGAGTTGTGGTTTTAGGACCGGGAATGGCACGATATGAGGGAGCAATAAATGCCGCCGGCTCAAACACTGGAGGGGCGAGAGGAGCGGGCAGCACAGGCACGGGTACTGGGAGAGGAGCTGGCACCACATGGTGATGGTGATGCACTTCGGGTGCCGGCAGAAGAGCTGGCGGTGCTGGGAAAACTGGTGCAGGAGCTGGCAGAAGTGCTGGTGCAGGTGCTGGTAGAAGTGCTGGTGCAGGAGCTGGCAGAAGTGCTGGTGGAGGAGCTGGTAGAAATGCTGGTGCAGGGGCTGGTAGGAAGTGTGCTGGAGCTGGCAGAATTGGCGCTGGAGCTGGTAGGAAATGAGCTGGTGCTGGTGCCGGTGCAGCATGGAAGTGAGCCTCTGGCAGCCAGGGCTCGGCCACAGGCGGCGATGCATGGAAATGTGTTGGTGGCAACACCGGTGGTGCCAAATCGAAATGATCTGGTATAGCTGAATGTAGTGCAAAAGGATGTGATGGCTTGGCGTTGGCCAACGCTGCCAAGGCTAGTAAAGCAAAAGTCTGAAAGAAATATTTTTAGAAAGTTTAGAGTTTTTCTTTCAATTAATTCACCAAATATTTATATACTTACGAGTTTCATTAGTGCCATTTTACTTAATGTTTGTTAGAGTTTAAGTTTACTGGTTAACTATCAAAGTCCCCACTTGACTATGCAAATGTCAACTTGCTAATGAATTATTAATTATTGTTGCTTCAATTTATATAAAAATATTCACTTTACCCAAAATTATTTAACCAAGCCATCGAACATTTCACTTTCGACACGCTACTTTGCTGGAGTAGGTGCTGAGCTATGCAGGTCCGCGCTTAGTTGGTCGGCGCCGAGCCGCCAATGGCCGATAATCCATTGGGGCTGACCATTTTTGGTGGTAATTAGTCAACTGCCGGCTCTTTAAAATTCAATGTGAAGGAAAGTTTGGAAAAATTATGTGCACTCTAATGCTCAGGCGAAGGTTGGGCTTTTTCATGAGCGCATTGAGCACCATAAATTCGGTTTAATTGGTGGCACAATGTTGTAACAAGTTTTACTATTTTAGACATTGATTATGACACAGTTTGAATGCCGGTTTACGCACGCGCTTGTGTATTTGTTTTTGTAAAAGATTTAAGTATGCCAATGCTAATTGACCTTAAATAAAGATATTTTCTTAAGACACTTTTTACTGTTTGTATAAATAAGAATTTTCCTTATTAGATGAAAATGGCACATACAACAACTTTAGGTGGAATTGAAGACCGAACGGAAATTGAGGCATACAAGTGATTTTGTATGTTTCAACAGACGTTCCTACAGATCATGGTTTTGATCCGCTGATATGGCACATCGAACACTCGTACTTGTCTCTGCCACATTATGCCAAATATTCGCGGTCACAGTGAAGGTAAGGTGCTACCAGCTGGTTAGTACGTCAACGCCTTTAGCCAAGTTTAAGACAGCATTCAATTTTCAAGCTTTTTTTAATCCAAAGATCAGCAAAACTCCTTGATGTGGAAGGTCAGAGAGAGAGAGACTAATGGCTGCCTCCCTACACCTCCTACATATGCTGCTGCTACTAAAATCGTATCTGCTCGCGTGTGATGTCAGTAGGTCATGGCCTGTCACTTGATCTACAATTGTCATTACTGTCCTTTCAAGACCGGTTTTGCGAAAATTGGGTGTTCCCTCGCTGTCATCAGACATGATCTTAGCAGGCCAATAAAGCAGATATCTTAATCCTTGTCTGCCCGTTTCTGCGCAGAAATGTGAAATTATTTCTGTAATATCCGTCTGGCCATACATGTATATGTAGTGGTTTTTTGCGATGGCAACAATCTCAGCAAATTTCCTCACCTTCTCCGCTTGGAAAACACTGCCTTAATCTGGTAGCTTGAAGTGAAAATTCAGATCTAGCTCGGTGCAATAGATTCCGACGCCTACTCCATCAGCTGTGCTTGATCCGTTTCGGATCTAGAGAGGCTAAGGGGAATATTCTGAGTAGAGTTGACCTTCTTTATGATGCGCCGAAAGCTGGCAGGTCCGTACAATATCATATGAAGCCGCTTTTTCAGGAAACAGAATGTGTTAAGTTAGGTGGGGAGTCAGAGAGGGATAGATAGATTTTGGTTGAATAGTGGGTTATTGGTTAAGGGCAGATGAAAAGGGGTAATGAAGATACAAACTTCACTGAACCAATCGGGAATTGGAATAATTCCCCATGTCTCACACTATCTCCTCATTGTCGGTGGATGCGAGGATCAGAACTAGGTGTAAGCTCACAGGACAGAGGAGAAATTCAGTTTCTCCATCCGCAGCACAAGGTTGGCTGCAGACTAGGCGTTGACAGCGCTCCAAATATTTAGTACTATTGTTGCTTTATATAATTCAACCTGGACTCAAAAACACTTTTGATTAATTTTTAAACATCTATATCTTTTATTTAAACATAGTAATCAGTTCAAGCCTCAGCTATTAGCAAGCAAAGTGCCTACAATATTCATATTTTCGTTACAAGCGACAAATATCTACACATCGTCTACCACGCAGCGTAAGGGGCAGCAGCCAAAGGCGCTGGTGCAGCGGCGAAAGGAGCTGGAACAGCGGCAAGAGGTGCTGGAGCGGCAGCATAGGGAGCGGGATAGGCGGCATATGGAGCTGGGGCCGCAGCCAAAGGAGCGGGCAAAGCAGCCAAGGGGGCAGGAAGAGCGGCATATGGAGCTGGGGCAGCAGCCAAAGGAGCGGGCAGAGCAGCCAATGGTGCAGGAGCGGCCGCTAAGGGTGCAGGAAGTGCGGCAAGTGGAGCGGGTGCAGCGTACTTAGCCAAAACTGGAGCAGCGGCGTATGCGGCTGGGATACCAGAAACGTAACGGCTGGAAAGTGGACCGGAATAGTGGAATGGTGTGGTGGTGTACGAGGAGAGTGTGCCATCAAAGTTGTTGCGCACATCAATTTGGCTGCTGCCTCCAGCGGCGTATAGCGGTGCATTGGCGTAGGCAGCGGCAGCCAGTGGAGCGGCTAATGGAGCTACAATGCCCGGCTTGGCTGAAGCGCAGGTGATAAGAGCGGCAAGAACGAAAGTTACCTGAAAAATAAGATACATTTGAAATTTATAAAAGATATACAATTTCAATGGAACTTCATTTTACTTACGAATTTGAACATTTTGCTTCTGTTTGGGGTTTGCTTGTACTAGACAATTGGAAGTGTTGAGGTTGTATGGTTTCCTTGCCAGCCAAAACTACCTTTTATACCAAAAAAATTAGGCAATTCACAAATGTTAAGTGAAATGTAAGTGTTGTGAATTAGTCATTGGCGATTTAATACAAATTCAATTGATAGTTTTAAGCAAAAAAAGAAAGAAGCAAATACGAAGAAGCGCGTCGAAAGAGCTCACCTAATTTGCCTTGCCCGACTTACAGCGCGTGCATATAAAACACCGTCAGTTGCGCGAGTAGTTGAAAGAAATTAATCAAAGTAAATATGTGACCGATAAGCAATTGGCGTAAGACGTGAAATGGTAAGTGATTTACTTCACGTAATGGAATTCAAGGAGCTCTTGCAATTGCTTTACAGTGGCATTCACTTCACTATTTTTGGCTTTTTTTTTTGCTTATTTCTATTTAGCTGAATAATTAGTAACTCGGAAGTACGCATACCAGGCTGTGACGATTTTGTAATCGAAATCATGTCGTTGAAATTAGGATTACTGCAAAATCCGTCAGTAATGACAGACGGATTAACCGTCATCGCAAGCCTCCAGTCGTAGAAGCTTCAAATTTGGATTGTGTGTTCAAGCGTATCCCAAATTTAACCGATCAAAAAAGAATTTCTGGAAATTGGAACTGGGATCGTTCTATTCGAAAAAATTGAATTTATCTTTAAATCATTTGTTTGATACAGAAGTAGCTTTGGGACCAAATTACGATTGGGAATACTTTTTCTCTGTACCTGGGATCGATTCAATGATACGACTTCATATTCAGCTCTTCCGGGTGAAGATTTGTAAGGAAATCCTCAAAAATTTGTTTTTAAGTATAAATTTGTATCTGTATTGGTATCTACATATCTCACTGATGACCAAACAAAAGAAATTCGATGATTCTGAGCAGCGTTTGGTCATGTTTCACCGAAACAAACTGGGATTGGTGTTTTGATATGTAACATGGGATGAAACATGGATTCATCAATTTAGTCTAAAATCAAAACGTTCTTCATCTGCGTAAACAGCCAGTGGTGAGCCTCGTTCAAAGCGGTCGAAAGAAACAGCAGACAGTTAAAAGGCTATGGCCTCATTGACTATTTTGAGAAAGAAAAGAAAAGAAAGAAAATGACACAACTATGTACATAGATTGAACTTTGAATTTGTCACACATTCACGGTATTCGCCAGTTACTGACTGTTTGCAGGCTTTAAATGTCTCTTCAATAGTGGTATGGAAATATTAAAGCTCCGCAGGAATAGCTTTATGATTCTTGGTATAGATTAAGCTCATGGATAAAGCCAATTTGGGAAAAAGTATTTTATTTTTTAGGCACTTGACTTCTCAGAATATGTGTTTTAGTTACAGAACTATGATTGAAAAAGAAACTTTCATGTCTTCAACTATTCGCAGAGCAAAAAATACATTATAAAATATGTACTAAACTTGAAAAAATAAATGGTTTACCTTATTGGAGTAGTAATTAATAACTCGATAAGTTAATTCGCCTTTTTTATTCTCTATTACGTAGATAAAGTATTGAAGTGATACTTTCGATACCGTTAAATATATGAGGGGTAAAACTTTGCTTCCGCTGTTTTCCGATAGGTGGCTGTACCGACTGAGGCTGGTTGAAATACATAGATGATAATGCCTTTAAAGTGAGTGTGGACAGTGCCTAACGAATTGTCATCGCCGTTTCAGTGACAGTTGTTCTTGTTTTCGTATTATTCACGCTCGAAAATGTCCGTTTATGTGCCTTATTTTCGCCATTTGCGGGAATACTGCTCTGAGTGAAAGAACGTGTCGGGAGTGGTTTCAACGTTTTAAAAATGGTGATTTCGATGTCGAAGACAAACATGGTGGTGGAAGAGAAAAAACCTTCAAGAACAACTAGAAGCATTGCTTGATGAAGATTCGTGGCAAAACCAAGAACAGCTTGCCGAATCGTTGGGAGTGAGTCAGCAAGCCATTTCAAAACGTCACAAGACCCTGGGCATGGTTCAGAAAGAAGGAAACTGCTTGCCGTACGAGTTGAAACCGCGCCTCACGTCGCAAAAGTGGTCAAAAAGTACCTGGAAACGCTGAAATGTGAAGTCTTGCTCAACCCGCCGTATTCCCCAGATGTCGCCACTTCTGACTTCCACCTATTCCGTTCGATGGCACACGGCCTGGCAGATCAACATTTTCAATCCTTCGAAGAATTGGAAAAATGGATTGCTTCATGGATAACGTCAAAAGAGGACTCCTTTTTTCGAGCCGAGATCCGAAAATTGCCGGAAAGATGGGAGAAAGTTGTCGCTAGCGAAGGACAATACTTTAAATAATATATCTGTAAGCACTTTTTCGCGATAAAGCTTTTAATTTTGGAAAAAAACGGCGGAAGCAAAGTTGTACACCGATAGCACAAACGATTTATGTTACCACTCTATTTCTTGGACTATTTTGCTACATTTTCTGTTTAATTCACATATATTCCGAAGCGAACTTTAGCAGGTCATTTCTTTAGGTTCCGGCATCTCGTTATTGATATGATGATTCCTAAATTTTTTCAAATCTTACTTAGAATACTGAAATGAAAAATGTCGAAATCCTCTACATTCCTTTCTGTGAAGGATACTCACCCACTTTTCCCATAAAGCTAACTCTATACTACATTTTTTTGGTCTCATCACGTCCAGTTTTCCTAGATTTGATGTGGTCATGTATAAATTTCATTGACAAAGTCTAAACCCAGTGCAGACTATCACTCTATATATTACATAAAGTAGAAGATATTGAAAAATATTATTTTTTTCAGAGAGAATTGAAAGCCTTCTCATATCATTGAACCCAATTTTCTTTCAACCTTAATTTAGTTTAACTTACGAAAAATGCAACGAATCAACGACGTAGAGGGATTTTTCAATAAATCTAACCAATGTTTTTGAAGAGGAAGGCAAGAGGGAATAACTAATAGCTTTACTGTTGTTAATGACAATAACCACTGACTTTCATATCAGTAAGATATCATTAAACCTTAGGCATGAATAGAATATGATTTCTACTAGAATGTATATACTAGAGCTCCCGTTAAAAGCGTAGACATGCCACGGCGAAACTCTTTTTAAAACTTTTACCATGAGAGGTTGCAGTTTTCCTCTTTTTATCGCAAATATAATAACATAAATATATGAAAAAATCGATGAAGAAGTTATTTGTGGTGAGTTATTTCTCAGTTTTATCACATACATGATGCATATCTGGTCAATGGTAGAACTACTAAGTTTCAAGCCATACTGATAAGATGCGATCAGTTTTTTGAGGGTGGGCCTTTACTAGTTTTACTTAAGATTTTATTGAATTAAGTTGAGTGTTTCAGTTTTGTTGTTGGGATGATGCTATATAGTTTTTCTAACTTCGTCGTAGGCGTTTGGTTAGATTATTTTTTTTTATCAGCTTCGATTGGGGTTGTTTCCCTTGCATTCAAATTAGGCAGACTAAAAATAATTTTCCTCTCAGCCAATTTCATAAGCTCCTCATACTTCCGCAAATCTGTTTCTCTGTTTTTTTTAACGTAATACATCTACATACTTTAAGAAATAAGCGAAGCGAAGATACATAAATAAAAGTGAAGTAAAGTTTAAACTAAAAAAAAAATCGTTGTTTTTCTAAGTTTAACTAAAAGCTTCTTCAAAGTTCAGTAAATATCTTGCATTTATCACCACTGCCTTAATGGTGTTTGCTTTTGTTTGTGCTTAGTTGTTGCTCTATATGTTAATTAGATGCGCTCATCGATTACGCACAAGACTGACCCGTCCGCTTGACGACGTTCGATAAACCATTGAAGCGTTGTAGAAGCTGAACATTCAACTATTCTTGTCAAATCTTTTCATAGTCAATTAAATGTTGCGTGTATGTATTGGTGATTAAAGAAGCGCATGACCACGCGTATTAGAGCTACTGCATAATTAATAAACTATTTAAGCATAAATAAATATTTTTCGTCGAAGGTGAAGGTGAAACAGAAGTATTTTCTATAATATTTTTTTTTAAATTTAAATAAAAAAACAAATCAAAATTCATTCTCTATTAGTATTTGATTTTTTGTTATTTATTTTATTAATTTTTAAGAAATTTTTTTTTCTGATATAAAAAATCTATACAAAATTAAAGACAAACTAATTGAGTTGACACTCTGCTGCCAATTGTTTTATACGAATGCTGATTTACTTAATTTAAAATACTTCTCAATTGATTTTGTCATTCACAGCTTTTGTTATTCAATCGCCAAAAGTGTCAAGCAAAAATTTCAAATAATGAAAAAAATGTGAAATAATATTTTTACTTTCTATTGGTTTTTAAATTTCATTGGCAAACCAGTTTATTTATTTGTTTGTAGCTTGATCACGAGTACAAAAGAATTTTTTGCCAGCGCTTTGCGCATTGTCACACATCTCTATAATTATTTCTATTATTATCGGTTGATTTGTTTAAAGGTCATAGAACCAAGACGGATCTCTCTGCTTTACATGAGTGCCATTATGCGTAATTATTTCAATTTATAACACTTTCTTTGTATCAACCCAACTTTGCTTTCCATGCGAAACTTCAAAATCGATATTTTTTTTACAACGCTCTTTCATATTTCTGTGCCCTCTTCTTATTCTTTAGATGATTCTTAAATTTGGTATTAACTTTCTTACTTTCTTTTTGCTATTGCTTGGCACCAACACGCCTAAAAGGAATTTACAAAAACAAAAATATATCGTAAATTGACTCATTGTTTATTTATGGATCAAGTATGGCTGGTCAAGGTCGGCAGGGCGTATGAGTGACGTGTGTGACTGCATGTTTGTAGTAGAGATTCAACCGGTTGCATGCACTAGGTGTAAAAAAAAGTATTATAAAATAATGCCTGCATTGATAGATTACTTAAATTATATGCTAATTACGGATATCAAGAAACAAAAATACAATGCTCAGGAATTGTGTTTTATTCGAACCGATATGGCATTTTAAAACCGTCTTTAAATC